TCACCCCTAGAATTTAATAATCAATATGCATTATGCGGAAATAAATATGTTTTGACATCTGTTGATTTATTCACAAACAAAAATACGACTTTGTATCCACAATTTATCTAGGATCCAAACTATTTCTAAATGTTTCTCATTTGAAACATAAAACCATAGTGTTGATCCTGTAGTATTCTAGTTGAAAGGTTGGAAAAATGTTAAGCAGATTTTCGGGAAACTAACTTTTAAACCATTTCGGAGAAAAATAAAAAAAAATTAAAATCTCAAAAACTACCAACTTTTGCATAATGCATATTAGGATTAAATTCACTTCTTACCACTTCCCCAATTACATCTCCAAAGGAATGTATCGAATTAACAGTAACCCTGTATACAGGGTGGCATTAAAATAAATGCAAGTATTTCAAACACTGAGAAAGTTTAACGTGTACTATCGAATGGCACTAAAAAAAATTTGGGATCAACATGAAATTTGAGGATGGACCCTTTTTCCACCCAAAGTACTACACTGTAGCAAAGCTGACTTCATCTCTGTTCATTTCCATGAGGTACGCACAATCACGTGCAGTTCAATCATTCAAATTCTTCTAGAATCTCGTACTTGATTTTTTTGTTCAATTTTTGGGATGAAATTTCTCGTTAATTAGAAGATTAATAAAAATGATATCATGGGAATATTCCTTGGGCTGTATCATATTTAATGTGCTGATGATAATGTGCACTCATTTCAAAAACACCTTGTATACTTTATAGGTATTTGTACTTCCTCTGTAAAATCATCTAGTTGAAGTAATTAGGACGGTAATGTGCTTATATCCTTCTCCTAATCAGGCATTTCGGTTGCGTTAAAACTTGCTTTAAACAGTGATAATTCTCCACCGGATACTGGGAATACGAACAAAAGAGGCAGGAGGATACGAGATGATTGAATAATTATCATCTAGTTTGTGAGATGAGGAAACCGGTATGAAATTTCACAGCATCAGTGTGCCACAAACTGATTAGGATATATGATAGGAAAACAAGAATTTTTTAAACTCGAACAGTCTATACCAGGTGACACAGACTCATATGGTATGCCCCCCTTTTTCTCATTTGTTTTTCTAGCTATATTTCTGAAATTTGGAACATCGAATATACTGACTATAGAGGGCACATCATATAGGGAATATCAAGGTTGGTAGAACTGATGATAATTTGTTCATCAGTTCTACCAACCTTGGGGAATATCATGACGAATTCAACGACACCAGATTAGATTCTGTTATTCCAAACGATTACGTTCTAAGTTTCGATATTGCTCAATGAGTGTGACAGAGAAAGACGTTTCGATATTGCGCCGTCAAACCTATTGAGCATTATAGAAACGTAATCGTTTGAAATCACTGAATCAAACCTGATATCGTTGAATTCGTTATAATAATCCTCAACCGATTATGCAATAAAATACAAGGTATTCCTTCAAAATCGAAAGTTGATGTAATTTCCAGGAAAACCGAGAGATGAAAAGTAATTCCCAAAATATGAGGAAGTGCCCTTTAGGGAGCATATTATGCGATGTCCCAAATTTCGGAAATATATAGGTAGCTAGAAAAACAAGAAGAAAAGCTCGACAGATTGAACCAGACTGCGAAAGGGTTTTTATCATAGGTTTTTATATATTCATTCATCAAAAGTCAGCGCCGGAAATTGATGATAACAATATATTAATAGACCATAAGCATTGAACGCGAAAGCGTCCCTTCAATCTTGTTAACGAGTTGATACAGCCATTACAGCTAAAAATAGCGTATATCGCTGTGACATGTCAAGACCTACATAGTTCGATAATGACATCGAATTTTCACCTTCAGATTTCCGATAGACGATCATTCATTTTTATATTTCCGTATAATGTACCAGCAAATGATAAATAAAGATAGATAATTATTGATTCTTGATTGCGAATCCATATCAACTTTGAACTCCAAATTGAAGTTTTTATTTTGTTATTGTATTTGTAAGCAAGCAAACAAGCAATTATACATCGTTCATTCATAAAGTTGGCATGATATGAGAAAAACTTTTGATGATAAAGTTTCGAAAAATATGAAACATGGCCTAATCCAAAGTCACGTGACTTTCGCTAAATGTCAAAAATAATTTTTTTTTCAAATTTATAGCTGAAAATAGGCTTATTTTTTCGAATTTCAAATAAGGATACTGGGAAAAGTTGTTTCTATTCCAATTTTACATAATGTGCCTTCGATTTCAACTTTTAGTTCTTGATAATATAATATATTGATTTCTGATTGTATATGATAGAGATATGTGAAGTATAGTTTGATTATATTTCGATAGATGAATGTGACATCATTTCAGTACTGAAAAAATCAGTTCAAATGAATTTAGCTCCTAAATGATATACGATCGACACATCAACTTTTCATTAAACATAAAAGAAATTTGAAGCAGGGATTATTATTTCTCTGGAGAAAATCATATTTCTGACGATGATTAGTGATTGAATGTTAGTAGCATTATAAAGCTACTAGAATGAAATAGTTTTGTCGGTGTTAATTCTATTTAATATCACAGACAACTCGTAGGTATAGAAATTGAAAAAATATACACATAATATATATAAAATTGGGGTAGAACGAACTCTGGTCAGTGAAAATTCTTGAGATTCGTACAAATAATAATAAAAAATGTAACAGCGAAAATCACGTGGCTTCGGCCGAGTAGTAAATTTTTTGTGTTCGAATTGAACGATGGAGAAAAAGATAAACTTTAACTTTGGCAATTTTTGTGTGTTGTTTCTATCAAATATTTGAATTAATAATAGTTATGTTATTATATGTGTTCACTGTTCGTAAGGAGCTACTTTATTACTAAGGCTGTATCTCGTGTGTTTTTGCCTACCATCAATATTGGCCGTAGGTAATGGTATATTACATAACAAGAGTTGTAAAACGCATATTACGCACGAAGTGGAGAGAGTTACACACGATGCCGCATAGCGGCGAGTGTGTAACTCCACAAGTGCGTAATTGCTTTACAACTCGAGAATTGTACTATACTTTTCCTACGACTACACTATATTTTCTTCCGGATAGTGCAGATATTGTATTAAGGCACAAATAACAAATACCAATATAAAACGTCTCCCGTCACTAAGCCAGCTGCATGAGAAGTTACAAATCACAATTCTTGTGTTTGTTTATTGATACATTGCATACCGAGACATTTTCCTCAATTCGAACTGAAATGGAGCCGTTTTTCATATCTAATCAGCTTTATTAATAGGTAGCAAAAATACATTGTATAAAAATATAAAATTGACATTCATAATGGTTATTTATTTGTAACAGTGCAGCACGAGAGATTCTGTAATCGTTATTAAAAATAATAAAAAAAAAGTTCTCCAACTGCGCTCTGATCCACCGACCTTAGGGTTCGGAGCCAGCGCTTCCAACAACTGAGCTATTAATTTCTCTGTATTCGTTTATATTTTATAGATATAATTTCGAAGATTGATCTTTTTCAATTATTCCTGTTATTCAAAGAAAAAGGAATTCATCAATTCAATGTTGAGTATGTATGTTATTCGAAGAATTACCTTCAACAGGAGCATTCTGCCGAAAATAATTTAATCTGTTCAGCATTAAGTATTTTTGATTTTTTTACTTCGGAATATCATCCTTCCCTTTTGAGGAAATGGGATATGTTGCTATATTAATATTGTGATTGATATTTAGTGTTGATCGTAACATGGAATATATCGACCAGAGTGATGATGATTTCATCGAATTTGATAATTCCTGAAAATATACTATAAAAAGGATATTTTCCGGTATTATTTCTAATTCTCCAGTCCAGGAATTTTTTATGTGCTATTTCGTATATCATTCACGAGACTTTAGCGGGTAGCAACTCATTTTTTTACCATTCTAGCATTTTCCAACATTTCTCATCTGCTCATCGTCATCGCTTGACAGCATTTTTTTCAACTGAAATTGAGGATTATCAATAGAAAATATTCATATTTTGAAAAAATATAACTTTCCTGATGCTTTCGGTTTCGGTGGATAGCTGGATTGATTGATAAAAAAATAAGTACCTACCCATACCTAGTAGTGACATTAATGAAATTGTTAATTGTTATTGACACATCGCCTAAGCAACAAAACAAAGTCATCTATCAACATACCTATGAAAACCGTGCGATCGCTCTCTTTACGCACACGTGTGTAAGGAGAAGCTTACTGCCATTGTTTTGTGTACAATATCCATCACTTACAGTAGTAGTCGTAGAAAAAAATAGATAAGTCATAGCAGTCTGAGTATACTTTTTTTCACAACTAGTTATAGAACCTACCATTATTCACTTCTTTTGAAGGCTTAAAGTGTTTTTTTCGAGGTGTTTTTACTTCCAAGGTAGTTTTCGTCATTTTATGAACCACTGGTCTGTTAGAATTAACCCAAATTCACTGTTCTGCTGCGATATTCACAGGAATGGCAGTCGAATCTAGTATTTATCAATAACGACTTGTTATATACTGTCATGCGTGACTAGATTTTAATTAGAATTGGTGATATAGGTGGGTCCACATTTCAGTTTCACAGAACTATAATGATTGAAATGCATTGCTAGTATTGATTTTAGGAAATAAAATGAGTTATTGAACTACAACGTGAGTATATGAAGTGTCCACTGATGGAAAAAGAAGGACAAGTAGTTGTGAATGAATATCCTAAAAAAGTGAAATTTCGCATTTTTTCATAAACTATCTCGATAAATAGCGGTTAGTTCACATTTTCATGATGGAATTCGTGTTTTTCAGACGAAAATACGTGAGTATTTCGACAAAATCCCATTGCATAATAAGTGCACTTTTACCCAAATTTTTATCCGGACTTTCCTGCTTTTTCTTTGTCCAAGTTCCATGAAAAGTTCGAAATATCAGATTTGAATTTGAACTGACATTTTCTTGAAATGACAGCACTGAACGAGACAGAATTTAATCATTTTTCGAAATGGCAGAATCGTAAATGTTGCCAATAAAGAAAAACAAATAATGATATTCAATAGATCAAAAGCAGCGATTGTCGTAAAATGGTCTATTGATATGGAACAAAATAAAAATGGGACTCACTCGGATTCGTTGTTTTCGAAGACGATCTCTCCTTTGTTCTTCTCGTACTCCTTGCCCTGTTTGGCAGTACCGTCCTCTGTCCAAAAGGGCACTACTACGCGCCCTCTGGCGCCCGAACAGCGCACTACCTGAAAACCATAACCATATTGTACATATTATACATCAAGGGACAGAAATGCAAGATTTTTTCCTAGGTGCGATTTGTAGCTCGAGGGCGAAGCCCGAGAGATACAAATCTGTATGATGCAGTTTATACTCGCTCCAGAGAAGGGTGTTCCGAAAAGAAAGCACAGAGCTATGCGGAAAATGTAAAGTTGGTATGAACTCCCTAGGGAGGAAATATGTCTCATTATCTCCCTAGGGAATAATACGCCATTTCTGCCCCTCTTTTGTTACCAGAGAAAGTAACTTCTACTCCCGTCGGCATAAAAAAATGTTAATGGTGTTGAATGGATATAGATTTCACCAAGGAGTTAACGCACCACCAAAAAGTAGCCAAAGGTTTAGGAAACATTTTAGTCAAAAGTACTGGTCCGATTTTTTCGCGTTTTTTGTTCAGAAGGACCGGTTATTTCCTTCTGAACATTGGATATGTTCCGTTAATCAACCGAAGTTACCGATACTTTCAGGGTCGGTACCAACAATTTTGACAGTGGTTATCTGCTTGTGGCTTATACAATGAGAGAAATCATTCGTTGGAATACCAAATAGTCTGGCAATGTCATCCATAGAGGGACAGATTAAAAAGCAATTCCTCTAAATATGGCAGGACACACCAGGAATGAGACAATAGAAGCTCCAAATAAAGGAACCGTCGAAGAGGTTCACAAAAGAGGTCGTATCCCCCAACAGGCGAGACCTCAAAATGGTAGTGGGGCTCCTAATAGGGCACAACCACCTCAATAGGTACCTAGAGCTTATTGGGATAAGAAATCTCCTTCTCAGATGGTGCCTAGAAGATGACTAAACGTTATCGCATGTCCTCACTGAGTGCCTAGCATTGACACATCAGAGGAGGGCTATCCTTGGCAACATAATTTTGAGGCCAGAGGACGTGAAAGAGATTCAGCTGAGCAAGCTGCTGAACTTCTCCAAGGAAGTCGGCATACCCAGCTGTATGTCAGAATATGTGGGCGCACAATGGTCCTGAATTAGAAGGCCTACGTGCAGGGGTGTTCATCCGATACCAGTGCTACGAAGAATTGAAGAAGGAGAAGTACAGCAGTGGTTGGTTAGTGGTAAAACAGTGTAGTGTATTATCGTGCCAAAGGTTCCAGTCTTCGATATAAGAAGGAGAAGAGCAGAAAGTTCATAGAGAAATCACCGGTTCACCTGGTCCAGGGAGGAGGGTCATGACCTCTCCCCCCTCCCCCTGGATCCGCCCTTGAGTACTCACCTTGAGCTCGTACTGTCCCTGGCTCTCGACCAGTTCGTGGTTCTGCCTGTCGAAGCGGAAGAGACCGCCGTGGTCGTCGTCGAGGATGAGGACGGTGGCCTTGGCGGGGGAGCCGAGGAGGCAGGCAGGGGCCTCGGGGGCGGCAGCTGATGGCCGGGCGGCACACAGGCGCACGTAGAAGTGCTCGTCCGGCTCGAACACGTCGTCGTCGATCACCTCCAACGTTATCCTTCGAGGGATGTCGAAACGTTATTATAGGGAAGTAATGGATTGAATGGGAAAAATTTATTCATACAGGGTGTCCCATAATCAGCGTGCAATACTTCACCAGCAGATTTGACGATTGAAAATATTAAAAAAAAGCTTCCATAAAAATAGGTCGAACAATGTCTCATTTATAAGCGAGCTACAGCCCCTTGAAGGTGGTACCCTGAAGATGGTTTTTATTTTATATCTTCGAAACTGTTGATAGCAGAATCGTGAAATTCTGCAAATCGGCCAATATTTTTATGCTCAATAATATGCGATAATGATAATTTTAAAATTTCATCATAAATAACGACCAGAGAAAGTGAGGAGCGCAATGATTCGACATAAAACCAAATAATAACGAAACATACACTATCACCAGAGTCACATAATATAATAATGATCCAAATGTCAGCTGTTTGTTGATGTGGACGTTGAGCTTGAAACTTGAATAAAACATTCGTATCAGTGATATGGGGATTATAACCTTCACAAAAAGGTTATATGACTTCATTCGAATGAAATAATTTCGAATATCAAACCCTCCTCAGTAACCTGAAGTACATTTATTCTTCCACCCGACGTGGCTACTGAAAGTAGTAAAAATTTTGAATGAATAACGTCAACAAAAGGAACGTTAAAATGCCTTCGTTGAGTTGAAATGAAAGTTACGTTAATGTAATGATGAATGGAACATAAAGGTCACCTTAATACGATGAAATTTGTGTGACGTAAAAATTCTTTTGTTATGTTGAAGGACATTGAACGTTACTGGTAGGAACTGGATACTCCATTGTGTCCTATATCATAACGTAACATGTTATCAAGGTTACAAGAATATGATGAAACTGGCATGATTTTTTGCTCAGTTGGAAAAATTCAATGTTTGTCGTGGCATATAGCCAGGAATGTAGTTATTTTGTGTTGAATAAACCGGGAAAGAATTGATATTCTCATTACATAGAGAATGCGAATTCCCAATTTATTCCTTTATATATTTATATCCATTTTTTCATGTTCATAATTTATCTGAGAATATTTCTCTTCAATACTAAAAACTAAGATTAACTCAATAACTTTTTCCTTCAATCGACCTGGACCAAAATCCAAAAAAAGAATACTGTCTATCAAATTAACGTTGTATCCGTTGTTGATTGCAATCTGTTTTATGATATTGAGATCTTTATTAAAAACTGAAGTTATCCACATGAATCCAATATCAACACTCACTTCTTTTCCTTGTCGCCCGGCTGGAAATGCAACCACCCCTCGCTCCTCACGTAGTCGCTGTCCGCCACCGCCGAGCCGTCCTCCGTCCTGTACTCGACGTCGACGGCGCCTTCGACGTCGCCCTCTCTCACGACGCTCACCTCGAAGCGGCCGCAGCTCTCCATCACCGCGTACTTGGCCGGCGAGAAGAAGACGCGGCACGCGGCCGGATCGCAGTTGGCGGTGATTGCGCAGTCGCCGGCGGACTCGCGGCGCAGCTCTTCTTTGATCTCGCTCAGGTCGCTCTGCGCGCGTTCCGATATCCTGGTGAGAAAAGCCGTTACCACCGATAAAACAAGGCCAGCAGACTCTGACGTAAACAGCTCGTGACGTCGCATACTCAGGCCATCTTCCAAGGCATTCGCGTCGATCGATCGTCAGTTTGTTTTTGTTTAAGAACGGTGGCGTAGGTAAATCGCGTGTGCCTCGAATTCTCTTGTTGTTTATTCATCAAAATAATTGGCGGAGAAATTACTGTTTTGTGAAATATTTCGTGTTGTGATAGGCGAAATACCAATGCCTTACAAGTGTTGTGTTCCCTTTTGTCGGGGGAATTATGTGGGTGGTCCAAAAGTTCATGCTCTTAGTTTCCCGTTGGACAAGGAACTATCGAAAAAGTGGGTACATGCAATTCACCGCAAGGATTTTACGACTCCATCTAAGTACAGTAAAGTATGTGAATTACATTTTACTAAAGATGATATTATCACTTCATCTACTGCAACCGATTCAAAAACTGGCAAAACTGTAACAATAGATTTGAAAATTCCTAGGCTCAAACGAGATGTTATTCCCACTCAATTTCCCAACTGTCCATCTTATTTATCGAAAGATGTAAAATTACGCACAAGTCGTGATGAAAAACTTGAGATACTAGAGACTAAAAATTTGGCACATGCACTTACCAAAAGTAAAACTGAATTCGAAAATTACCAAAAATCATTTTGCTACACAGAATTTCAAGAATTTCTAGTTGTATTAGAGTCTTTTCAGTTGCCCGAAAAGTGGTTCAAAATTATCGATTTGCAAAAAGTCACATTATTCAAATTGTCTTATTCTCCAGGGCCCGTAATTACATATTCGGTTGTGATTGATTTTGTTTTGAATGTGGAATCATTTTTGTATGACCTAGCGATACAAACATCTCTAAAAGCCAATCTGAAAACACCTTTCATCTCTAATAATATCAATCAAATCAAGAAATTACTAATTGAAATAGATAAAAACGAGATACATAATTCGGGAAAATGTCTTGATAATCAGAAAAAGAGGGTTTTGAAACATATTTCGAATGCATTGGACTCTTTGGTTTCTGACTCGGTTTCAGATCTTGATGAAGATTCCGAAAACACTTCAGCTTTATTGTTCCTCTCTTAGCAAATTAAATTACATACATCCTGCAAAGAACGATATCGTGTTTCGAATAATACTATAATTTTAGCCTCTATAATTCATACAATAAGTCCATATGCTTATAAATTTTTAAGACATTTTGGAGTACTCATATTACCTCATTCAGGTACAGTCAAATCGATATGTAGTTCGTTGTTAACAGATCCTACATTCGAAGAAAGACAAATGTCGTTATCTCATGCAGAAAATGTATTTAAGTTTAGGTGAGCGTGAAAAATATGTCATTTTAATGATGGATGAAGTTAATATAAAGCCATATTTAGATTACAAGGCAGGCAATATTGTAGGAACGGCATTTAATAATTCACGTTTAGCAAATGCGTTATGTCAAATGTGAAAGAAGTTGTTCATATAAGTCCAACATCAAGAATAGATCACCTAATGATTTTTTCTTTAATAAAGAGAGTCATAAATAGATCAATCTCACGATAAGTTTATGTTCTGCGGGCCCTGTATAAGTAGGTGTGAAGTTTACCTTCACCACAATTTTTGCCAATATATTTATTCGAATGGGTTGCTGTAGGTGGATATTTGTGTTTTATCCTGGTTTTTGCTTTGAAACTTCGTTTTTCCATAATAAAATCGAATGGGATGCGAAGAAGGGCTCAGTTGACGGCTGGCATCCTCTTTCAACCGGAAGCCCTTCAAAAAAAAAGCAAAATCGGCTCAATAATGATCTAAAACTAAAATCGAAATACGCGGTCGCCTTATAGCGCTATAAGCGCTTGTCGTTTGGAGCCGCTGGTTACGCCTGACTAAGTGACGTCACCCACAGAGCATGCAGGCCTTGTTGTTTTATCGGTGGTAACGGAAAAGCTCCTAGGTATTCAAGTGTCAGAAACATTGAGCAACGTGGTAACCCTGTAATTGGCGAGAGTTGACTGAGCAAGTTGCCTCAGCCGTTACCATCGAGACAATAAGGCCAGAGCCCGTGACGTCAACTAAGAGAGGCCATGCACATATTCTATGGCGTGTCGATTCGTAATAACCGTTGCCAGACCTACTATTTTTAACAGTTAATCTACTGTTTTCGTATCCGTTCTACTGTTCAAGGCAATAATCTGAATGGTCATGTTTTGATATGACATAACTACCTAATATGTAACAATAAATATTCAATGGGGCATCACAGTAAGAAGATGTATGATCAAAATATACTGGAATTATTAAATTCAGTCTGATTAATAAAAATCAGCTTTCATTTTCAATATGGTTGTGGTTTTTACAACTTTTTTTTTTAGATTTCACTTTTTTTATTTTTTGTTCTATTTTAATAGGTTTAGAGAACGAACATTATTTTTTTTTAGTTTATTATAACGGTTTCTATGTTTTTTTCATTTATAATAGCAAATTGTGATGATTATTGGAATCTACTGTTCAGTTTTGATGATCTACTGTTTTTTCCTCACCCATCTACTGCTCCGGCAAATTTTCATCTGGCAACACTGCTCAGTTCGATCAGGTATGTTTGGAAAACGGTCGCGTCCTGAATTCTTTTGTTGTTTTTTCATCAAAATAATTTGCGGAAAAATCACTTTTTTTGTGAAATATTTTGTGTTGTGATGGGCGAAATAACAATGCCTTTCAAGTATTGTATTCCCTTTTGTCGGGGGAATTATGTGGGTGTTCCAAAAGTTCATGCTTTTAGTTTCCCGTTGGACAAGGAACTATAGAAAAAGTGGGTATACTTTATGCAATTCACCGCGAGGATTTTACTCCATCTAAATACAGTACCTAGTAAACAGAGCTTAATTTAAAATGATGAATTAATAATAGAAGACAATTATCCTCTCATAAAAAGTATGAGTAGAGGAAAAAGAGAAAAGCTATGATTGTACAGTTAGTTTCGTATTCGTATATTATATTCAACAAAATCATCTCTGAATTCGAGGAAATTTTCTCGAATGTTCATAATAAACGGTCATTTGCCTCGTGGCAATGAATGCAGAATTCATTCCAATGACCGAATTGCAACTATCATATTGACATGTACTACAAACACTCTACTTGAAAAGGTAAAACTGCATTTATCATGCGATGAGTTGTTCACATTTTCATTATCAAATACGTGTTTTTCAGACAAAAATTCGTAAGTACCAAAAAATATTTTCAAAAAAAAACCATCGCATCATAAATACAGTTTAACCCTTAAAAATTACTGTTCCAAGTCTAAAGATCAATTGGGTAAAAAAAAGGCATGTCTATCAATATAAAATACATTTTCCACAAATTTATTTCGATCAATCTCACGATACCTTTATGTTGTGCGGGCCCTGTATAAGAAGGTGTAAAGTTTACCTTCACCACAATTTTTGCCAATATATTCAATTCGAATGGGTAGCTGTAGGTGGGTATTTGTGTTTTATTCTGGTTTTTGCTTTGAAACCTCGTTTTTCCATAATAAAATCGAATGGGATGCGAAGAAGGGCTCAGTTGACGACTGGCATCCTTTTTCAACCGGAAACCTCTCGAAAAAACAGCAAAATCGGCTCAATAATGATCTAAAACTGAAATTGAAATACGCGGTCGCCTCATAGCGCCATAAGCGCTTTCGTTTTGAGCCGCTGGTTAGGCCTCACTAAGGTGACATCATCACGGAGCATGCAGGCCTCTATGGTAACGCCTCAGCCCGCTCTCTTGCTACCCTCCATGTCTAATCTTGCTCGTTTTCACTCTGGCTATAGTGGCTAGTAGGCCACACAAATTAGGCGCAATATGGATTCATATTTGTTCTCAAGCAATAAATTCAATCTTTTAGCATTTGATTGGAAATAAGGAACCCAGGAATCAGCTATTTCTTCAGGTTAATTCGCTACTCTTATCTTTAACTAGCTCATTTCATGTTCCATTGAACTCATTTTGAAGACCGAATACTTGTATAGTGCAGAAAAATACGATCTAGATTGTTTCATAATGCTTGAATGATCTAAATAGGACATCCTATTTTCTTCATCCTAAGAACGATATCAGGTTGCAATTTTTCACAATTTAATAAAAGTTATTTTGCCGGAAATATTCGGCGATTCTTTAGAGAGAACAGATCTCCAAAGTGACCACGAAGGGGTGCGAAGCCTAAACTCGACGGGTTAATCTCGCGGGGACTGCCAAGGGAGGAACAATTGTTGATATTTCAGAAGAGCATCGTCCATGAAAATATCTATAAAATGGAGCCAGATCACGGTGTCCAGAGGAGTGAGCGGGTTTGTGAGCGAGGCATCACCCACGAGACGAATTGCCTTTTTTTTGGGCAGAATCCAACAGTTTCAGGGTATGTTTGGGTGTTGCACTCCAAATATGGGAATAGTATTCTAGGACAGGTCGGACCTGTGCCTTATAGATTATAAGCAGCTAACTGGAAGTGAAATAGCTCCTGGCCCGAAACAGGAAACCAAGTTTTTGGGATGCACTTTTAGCAATTGATCTCACGTGATTTTCCCAAGAAAGGTTATTGCTGATAGTAATCCCAAGCATCGGAATGGATGTCTTCAAAGGTATATATGGTTACTACTCCTGAGCTCATGTTGGGCACAGTGAGATCGGCTTTTCTAGAGAAAAGGCATGCTTGTGTTTTGGTTGCATTGAAATCTACCAAGTTATTGGATCCCCATTCCATACCAAACATCAGGGTGGAAATTATGGACAGTGAAATTGGATTCATAGTATATCGAACACTGGAACCTTTGGCACGATAATACACTACACTGTTTTACCACTAACCAAACCGATTTTTAACGCCGCGACACGTGTTTCGCTAACTATGTTAGCATCTTCAGGAGAATATTAAAACAGTTTTGATCTTCTCCTGGAGATGCTAACATAGTTAGCGAAACACGTGTCGAGGCGTTAAAAAA